GAAGTATTATTTATACCACACAAGGGCGTAGATAAGGGGGGGTAATGGGGGCAATTACCCCCCCCCCCCCAAGCCATAGTCAACATTAATATTTTTTTAAACGTTATATTAAACAAAAATAGAGAGTAAAAATAAATATGATAAAACAAAGAGTTTCTCAAACATTGTCATCTAAAATAATAATATTCCTACATATTGAAAATTAAAATTTTTATACAGGGTCCCATTAGTTCGTAACTGTTCAATATTTCAATTCGTGTTAAAATAAAAATTATATGGAATTGAAAAATACATATTTTAAAAATATTTTTGGATATACAGGGTGTTGCGTTTTTGCCTGACAAATAAAAATGTATGTTTTTTAAATAGAAGACCCTATATTTTATTTTTAGAATAGCTTGGGAATACTGTATTTAATCCTAGAGTGTTTTTAAAAATCTGATGTGTCCAACACATGACTTTCCTATCTAGTTATTATAGGCTTTTTCCGGTTATTTTGTACAACTTATTGCAGCATCTCTATAAATGTTTAGAGGATAAACTAAATATATACATTTTACACATACATTTACCTCGAAACATTTTTCTATAGATATTCATTGAAAACGAAAATACTGAAAAATTTAAATTTAGCACTTTTCCATTACGGTCCATTTTAGAAAAATCATGTATAAACAAAAATTATAGATATCGATATCGCAAACAACTTTTAGTTCAACAATTTTCATAAAAATCAGAATTTTGCACATTTTCTCAAATTTCTCGAATACGGACCATTTCAGGAAATTTTGACATAAAACAAAAATTATAGATAATAATATTAGAAGTAACTTTTATTTGAACAATTTTCTTCTCCAAACATAAATAACAGATATATTCCATAAAATATAAAAACGGCCTCCCATAAAGTACCCCCCCAGATGTTCCGACTTTGTCCAAAATCTAATCATTTCACGTCAGGCCGAAATAAACCTTAAGTTTAAAATTTAATGTTTTTTCCTTTATCCGTTTTTGAGTTTTCTTCAAATTTCGAAATTTACACATTTTCTCAAATATTTCGAATACGGTCCATTTTAGAGAAATTATGTATAGGACAAAAATTATAGAGAATTATATTACAACTTTTATTTGAACAATTTTTATAAAAAATTATGTTTTTTACATTTTGTCAAATTTCTCGAATACGGACCATTTTAGGAAAATTTTGCATAACACAAAAATTATAGATAATTATATTAGAAGTAACTTTTATTTGAAGAATTTTCTTCTCTTAACGTAAATAACAGATATATTCCATAAAATATAAAAATGACCACCTATAAAGTACCCCCCCAGATGTTCCGACACTGCCCAAAATCTAATCAGCTCATTGGACGCTGAAGCAAAGCTTAAGTTTAAAATTTGGTGTTTTTCTGTGTATCGGTTCATGAGTTATGCGTTATACAGACACACACACAGACACACAGACACACACACACACAGACATCATCGCGAAAATAGTCAAAACGGATTCAGGGGACCTCAAAACGTAAAAATCCGTCGAAAACTCGAGGTCGAAAAAAATCATGATTCCTATACTTTCCTTATATCTGTATACAGATAGGAAAGTAAAAAATATTACAGTGTTGCCAAACAATTTTTTTTTAATTAGAGCATGATGCAGACCCCTAATTAAATGATCAAAATTTAGGTAGATTTACATTAATTTCAAAATTATTTAATATACAGACTATAAAATACTAAGCTAAGGTGATACAACTGGTTTATTCTATACAGGGTGTTTTGAAACATGTCTTATATATGGCTAATTTTAAGTTCAATTTACTCAATTTTTTCAAACGCAACACACTGTATATTATCTTAGTATAAAATTCCCTATAAATTTGCCCATGTAACAAAACCAATGTGTTAGTTAAAAACACATATACATGGTGTCCCATTACTGCATAATTGATCGATAGCTGTTTTATTATTAGAAATACGAAGTAATGTTTAATATAAAAGTTGCATGACCATGTCTAACAAATATTCTTAAATATACAGAGTGATCCATAAACGAGGTGCTGACCAAATCTATACTTTTTACTTTCCTATCTGTATACAGATATAAGGAAAGTATAGGAATCATGATTTTTTTCGACCTCGAGTTTTCGATGGATTTTTACTTTTTGAGGTCCCCTGAATCCGTTTTGACTATTTTCGCGATGATGTCTGTGTGTGTGTGTGTGTGTGTGTCTGTATAACGCATAACTCATGAACCGATACACAGAAAAACACCAAATTTTAAACTTATGCTTTGTTTCAGCGTCCAATGAGCTGATTAGATTTTGGGCAGAGTCGGAACATCTGGGGGGGTACTTTATAGGTGGTCATTTTTATATTTTATGGAATATATCTGTTATTTACGTTTGTAGAAGAAAATTCTTCAAATAAAAGTTACTTCTAATATAATTATTTATAATTTTTGATTTATGAAAAAATTTTCCTAAAATGGTCCGTATTCGAGAAATTTTACAAAATGTAAAAAAATAATTTTTTATAAAAATTGTTAAAATAAAAGTTGTTTGTAATATAATTCTCTATAATTTTTATCCTATACATAATTTCTTTAAAATGGACCGTATTCGAGATATTTGAGAAAATGTGTAAATTTCGAATTTTGAAGAAAACTCAAAAACGGATAAAGAAAAAAACATTAAATTTTAAACTTAAGGTTTATTTCAGCCTGCCGTGAAATGATTAGATTTTGGACAAAGTCGGAACATCTGGGGGGGTACTTTATGGGAGGCCGTTTTTATATTTTATGGAATATATCTGTTATTTATGTTTGGAGAAGAAAATTGTTCGAATAAAAGTTACTTCTAATATTATTATCTATAATTTTTGCTAAATGTCAAAATTTCCTGAAATGGTCCGTATTCGAGAAATTTGACAAAATGAGCAAAATTCTAATTTTTATGAAAATTGTTGAAGTAAAAGTTGTTTGCGATATCGATCTCTATAATTTTTGTTTATACATGATTTTTTTAAAATGGACCGTAATGGAAAAGTGCTAAATTTAAATTTTTTAGTATTTTCGTTTTCAATGAATATCTATAGAAAAATGTTTCGAGGTAGATGTATGTGGACAATGTATATATTTAGTTTATCCTCTAAACATTTATAGAGATGCTGCAATAGGTTGTACAAAATAACCGGAAGAAGCCTATAATAACTAGATAGGAAAGTCATGTGTTGGACACATCAGATTTTTTAAAGCAAAACGCCCTGCAGGTAGTAATACATATTTGATTGTTTTTACATCGTCCATCAATTTTAATTGACTTTATTCATTTGCTATGTTGTATATAGGATGTGTCAAAACGTGAGGTTACGGTTTTCTCAATTTTTTAAATGGAATGCCCTGTATTAATTAATTGGTAGTATGACATATAGGGTATTCCATTTTAAAAAATCATTTTGAAACACCCTATATACAATATAGCAAATAAATGAAGTATATTAAAGTTGTTTGACGATGTGAAAACAAATATAAAAATGTATAAGTTTGGTCAGCCCCTCGTTTATGGACCACCCTGTATATTTAAGAATATTTGTTAAACGTGGTGATACAACTTTTATACTAATTTGTTTTTTCTATTTCCAATAATAAAACAGCTATCGATCAATTACGCACTATTGGGACATGTTGGTATCGTTGGATAGGTAAATTTATAAGGAATTTTATGCGAAAATAATATACAGTGTGTTGCATTTGTCAAAATTGAGTAAATTGAACTTAAAATTAGCCATATTTAAGACATGTTTCAAAACATTCTGTATAAAATAAATCATCTCGGAAATGGAATAGTCTACAAAGATCATCCAGAAGGTTTACGAAATGTAGGGTGTTCAAAAAGTTTTAAATAAAATTGTTTCTTTAGCCCTTTACTCTACGCCAATGGGTTATGGTAATTTATCGAAATAGTGTGTTAACTAATAATAACGATTACCGATAATTTACATATTTTCAAGTTAAAGTCTTTACTGTAAGGAAAGGTATTTAGAAAATATGTATTTTTGAAATTTACTTTATCACCCTGTAGAATGAAAACTGGGACGTTTTTAGGAAAAATATATTTAGATTTTCTTTATAATTAAATAAGATCTACAAATCCCCAAAATTACGGTATTTTATTCCGAAACACCCTATATAAAAAATTAAAAACTTCATTATAAAACTCTTTTTTCTGGAAATACACATATGAACTAGACGTTGCATTGGTACCATACACGCTGCGTATTCACCAATAAAGTGAAAAGTGTTACCCCCTCCAAGAAAACAACCTAGCTACGCGCTTGATACTACATTTTGTATATGTAATAGCACCTGATTTGTGGGATTTATTTCACGGTAATCAATCCCTGTGTCCAGGATGGACTGATAAAGTGAAAAAACTTTTTTATTTTCAATTCTTAGAGAAATTGTTTATTTATATTTAATTCTTTAAAAGTTTTTGCTTGTTTAAAAATAAAAATAATAATAATGCAAACAGAAGTTGAATATATATTTGTTTTAGTGAAATAATGACAAACATTATTTATTTTCAAGATATTTAACTTCTGTTTGGATTATTATTGCTTTTGAAACAAGCAAAAACATGAAAAATTTAATTTAAAAAAAAAGAGAATGTCCTTCCTCTTTTACAGTCCCTCCGGGGACACCCTGTATTTATATCTGTATTCGTAACTATTATTATATGTTTTTAACTGGTTTTCAATAATTGTTGATAAAGTTTGTATTTACAAGATGGTGTTAATCTGAAGAGGTTTATTGTTAATAATATGAGAAATCCAATAAACTGTGTATTATTGAATGTGACTGTAGATTCTAAAGTGATTTTTAGTTGTTTTTGAACAAATTATATCTTTTTGAACTACATAGGTAAATGAATATTTTTAAGCACAACCTAGACATTTTAAATAGTACTTTACGTAGCTTCTGAAATGAATTTACTCACCTGTTGAAATCTCTTTGGATGATAAACACCTATTTGTTCGAAACCGGTACAAAACTGAACTACACCGCACTCTTCATTCACAGATTGCTCGTTAGCGTGGCGGTTATGCGGTTAAGTCTAACTAGCTTAAGCCGAGTATCCCCCACTTGGATATTTGAATAAATAAATCAAGATGACCCTGGGTTATCCCCAGCGCACACGTATACAAACAAAATATTTATACGGAAAGGCCGGTTGATGATTTTCATTTGAAAGAGATTTAAGTGCTGGGTTTAGACTTAACGAGCCTTTTCTTTCTCTCTCTCTTATACATATAGGGGGATTCATTAATATTGCATGATTCCTTATTGAGTCAAAATATTAAAATTATCAATCAGATTTGATCAAAAAATAACTACTTGATAATCCAATCTTGTCCTGGTTATTAATGTAAAAATGAAAATTTTCCTATTATTTACCGTGACTAACTGGTAAAATTTCAATGGTCATTCACTGAATTTACACCCATATCGGATTAAGAAATAAATAAAAGATTTGACTGGTCAGTTGTATTTTAAACATTTACTCATGGGTGGCGTTATTTTGTATATTGCAAGGGGTTCTTATAGAAACAAAATAAATTTAAATTTTAGGTATTTAATTTTGCCTCAGAAAGCTTAAAAGAGATAGTTACATGATTTTGTTGTTTAATAATAGTTTATTCAGAACAAAAATTTTAATTTACATACACAGTTTTACCCTGCGATTAAGTAAGTACGATGATTAAAAATAACATAACTTTTAAAATTCTATATTAAACAGTGATTATTATAAATAATTGTCTTTTGACATACCTATAAGCATCACTCTCAAAATGTGTGTCACTAGCGTCGCTGTCATCATTAAGGGATATAATTATAGGGTTAATTTCGTTTATCCTGTTTTCACGTGCCCACCAGTCGTCAATTAATTTATCACATTTTTGAACACTTTTTTGCCAAATTTTTGGGATTGATGTATCCGGTGCTTGTTTCCATATTTCCCTTACTGCTTCGTCGCTGTAACCATTAATTCCAATATGATTGTCATAATACGTTTTACATACACCCCAAATGTGTTCGATGGGGTTAAACTGACAATGGTACGGTGGAAGACGTAACACATTATGTCCATAACTATGTATGACTTGATCTACCATATAAATTTGTGGTGGTTCATGCCGTTTGGCTAAAGGTAACAATTCAGATTTAAGGGCGTATTGTGGAAATGCAACATTTTCGTTACGTAGCCATTCTTGTATTTTGGCTACAGTCCAATTCTGTCATGGCGGTTTGTTTAAAAGTTCTATGTGATAGCTCGCATTATCTAACACTATAACAGACGGTTCACTTGGTAATATTTTTTCAATTAACCATTTGATAAACATATCCGAGTTCATGTTATCGTCGTAGTCTTCTGATTTTGATTTAGAGGAAAATATTAATCCTGCACCATCCACAAATCCATTCTTTCCACCTGCGTGCAAGATTATGTGTCGCTTTCCCTCACCATTAGTATGTTTTATTGATTTTATATTTTCATCTTGCCATATTCTTTTCGTCCCACCTTTGGAAAATATCCAGGTTTCACCCAAATATATAAACGAAGCTCCATTATTTTTTAAACGAGTGTACTCTCTTAAAAAATGTATTCTTTTGTGAACATTATTTTTTTCACATAAAGCTTTTCTATTACCTTCTTTCTTAAATTTGAAACCTATTTCTTTAAGCAACTTCCAAAGACTTGTCCTGTCAAATTTACCAATTTGTATTTCTCTTAAGTTAGCCAGCAATGTGTCTAAGTTGACATGTTCCTTTTTCGCAAACATTTCATACACCATATCACGAATACGAAATTTTATCCCACCAGATATATCCGACGTTTTCAGTTTTTTGCGAAGCGTGTATTTTTTCTTTTTTTTTGCTCTCTCCGCTTTTGACGTTTTTCAAAACATATTTTAATTTTGAATCACTAATACCGAGAGCCGTACAGACTCGTTCATGCACACTCACTGCTGGCTTTAAAGGTCCTCCGTTATCTTTTTCCGCCGTAAAATACTTATGTAGATTACAAATTAAGTCATCTACACGTAACACGCGCTTCGGCATTTTCAGTTTCGACATACGTTCTCTTCGAAATCCAAAACTGAACTAAATAATTTAACGCAATTAGTCCTATAACATCAGTACAAAAATAGAACATTTAATTTAATTTTATACCTGTGAAGGGGACTTCCCGAAATTCCTGACCATAAAGCGTTTATTGTGTTCCGGGAAAATGGTATTACCATAAACAATGTCCAAAACAAAATTATAAATATTTTCATTTTTTCGTGTATTACTTTAGTAATTTAATTTTAAACATAGGTGATTAATGTACGCACTTGTCAAAAAAGGCGGAAAAGTTGTACAATTTGAAGTTGCTAAATATTTATGTAAAATCTGGTATATAAAAGGGTTTGTCCTGCTTAAAAAGTCTACGAATCTTTATATCGCATGTAGTAAGGATACTAAAAAAAAAATAAATTTAAATTTAGCGCCATTCGCGACCAATCGAGATCATTTTCAAACTGGTTGGACTTTTAACCTTAAAAAAGAAAGGGGAAGCACTGAATTATATATTAAACTGGAAGAACAAAGCAGATCAACAAAATCAAGCCGCATAGCGAGGTGATATTTGACACTTTGGCGCCCACATGTGCGTATTGAAATGCACTAAAAAGGATCATCAAAATTGAATTTAACACTTATTACATTCAACTGTGCCACCTTTTAATTTAAGAAAATCACTTAAAAATGATTTTTGATTAATACGCAGCTGAATAAAATGTTCTTATAATAATTTTTATTTATTAATAAAAAATAATATAATTTGTCGTAGTACGCCCGTGGAAACGTGACGTAGAATACTCGAAATTGACAGTCTGGCGTCCAAATTATCATGCGCACCGACCGATTTTTCACCCATGTCGGCTTAGAAATTAGGAGTAGGGTTTATGTCATATAGCCATCCAGTTTAATATAAAGGTCGGTGTTGAGAAGTGGTAGGACGTGGACTGGCAGAGTGAAAAAGAAGAAGATTAATTAGTGGTTATACAATCAAACGTAAAAGTGTACAATTTTGACACTGAAAGTTGTACAATTCCAAAATTTCTATGAACAACACTGATTGTCACTTGTGCCAGAGCTCTCTGGTATTTAAATAGCGTCTGTCTTGGTAAACCGGCATAAACGCCACAATATATCCCCTATAGTAGTGCATCTCACTTGTTAAAGAGTTGGCACTAAGTTTGCAGCGAAAAAATGCGTATGTGTCTGGCTGCTCAACTAACTCGATATGGCGGTAAATTCAAATATAATTTTAAGGCGAAATTTAAATTTCCCGCCAAAATTGTAAATTTTCAGCCGCGGAATGGCGGGAATTTTGAAATATATTCATTCGGCAATAATAATTGAGAATTATATTGCATGTTCCATTAAGCGAGCTGTAAATCCAAGCGCTATTTTTATTTTGATAGCTAAAAATAATACTAATTCCTTTATTGTTAGCTACTACAATAAGAGCAGCATTTGGATTAACAACACATTTAAAAGAACATGTAACATACTTTTCAATTTTACCTGAATCACTTATTTTTTACCTATAGAGGTTAGATCTGAAAAAAATTGGCTCTGGTAAAAAAACAAAAAATTGTATAAAGTATTTTATTTGAAAAATTATAAAACTTATTTAATTTATTTTAAAGTCGAGGATAACTCTAGCCATATCCATTTTACTGAAAAAAAAAAGAAACTATTAAATTAAATCATTTAGTTATTAAGAGATGTTTGTGATAATACAGTGACAGCTATCGAATGTTGTACAATACGTTTTGCTAATGTCCAAGTAAAAACTACAAAGAGTTAGCATTAGTGGGAGAAGGAATAGAATACTATGAACGTAGCCAACCGGCTACGTGGAGATGCATAGCTCCGTGTGCCTGTTCATATTACACAGCACAGAAGGTAACATTCATATTATTCGTTTCCTGATCGCACTAATGCTAACTCTTTAATTTTCTCTTCGATGCTAGTTAAGCGTATTGGAAAATGTTCATTAGCTGTATATAAATGCTAAAATCAATAAGAGAAATAAAAATGTTTAGTTTAAATGGACACCTACTTAGAAAAGTAAGAAAAACTTAAACAGTAAATTATTATACTTGAATTTTAAAGGCTGTTGCCACCGGAAAACTATTATCTAGTGCTTGGATGACAGCCATAGGACTCTGTCCTTGAATCGTGTCCATAGGAAATCATAAGATCTTAGTTAAATTATAATATTAAGAGGGTATGTATTAACTGAAAAAATATGAAAAATTATTACAAACTTACCTCAAAATTGGCACCTACATTAAAAGAAGGAAAAACGGAAACATAAAATTGTTATACTTTAATTTTAAAGGCTTTTCCCACTGGAAAAGTATTATCTAGGGCGGAGACCCTTGTATGACAGCCATAGCAATCCCTCCTTGAATCTGAGTTTGTTGTACGTTTTGCTTTCAATAATAAATAAGTAAGCACTTAATACAACACAATAAATATCGCTGAAACAAAATTAATAGTAATAGACGGTATAAATTTCGTAGAAGAAAAAAATCAAAAAATTATCACTTGTCAATACTGACACTTCATGCTTCGCTTGTCAAAAACTTCCTCTTCAACCAATGAACGTGCCGATGTTGGACGTGTCAAAATTCAAAACGATACTAGCGCCATGAGACCTGTGTCTGGCCGCAGCGTAACTCAAAGCCATTTCTTGAATCCCAGTAACATTACTATAGGGGATATATTGTGATAAACGCGATGCAGGCAGGCGACAACGTAAACGAAGATCAGGGCCAGACTGGCTCGCACGACACTAATAATAATAATCCACCTCTGCTGTCCCTCTATCGGCTATGTAACAAACAGAAGGTAAGATATACAATGATGATATTTCGGATGAGATATTGTCAGTTTCTACCACCATATTTTAAGATAAAATAATAATTCATGAATGCTTTCTATGGTTATCCTACTCGATTATAAGTTGTACTATATTAGGTTTGATCCAACAGCTTCTTTCTAATGAGTATCTGACTCGTGCATGGATTTATTC